CCTGTATTGTGATGAGAAATACTCTCAAGTCAGTTTGATGCTGTTAAAAAGGATTAATGCTCAGGATGGCAGTGTTAATCTCCAGAGCTGCCAGTGTAGGGACAAAAGCATTGAGAGATGGGAGCACGGGTATAAATACTTCTTCTTTTTTTTTTTTTTTTTTTACATCTTTATTGGAGTATAATTGCTTTACAATGGTATGTTAGTTTCTGCTTTATAACAAAGTGAATCAGTTATACATATACATATGTTCCCATATCTCTTCCCTCTTGCATCTCCCTCCCTCCCTATCCCACCCCTCCAGGCGGTCACAAAGCACCAAGCTGATCTCCCTGTGCTATGGGATATAAATACTTCTGGACCTAGCTTTTCCTATGTTGCCACAGAGCCCTGAATAAGGATAATGATCCTTTAGAGACTTTTGTATTACAGTTTAACACATATTGGAGGTTTCTAATTTAAATTTATGCTTTTGTGTAAAATGGATTAGAGAGGTTGAATTGCTACAGGCCAAAGAGAAACAACAAAGGTCACTTGATTTTGAGGAACTCTCTGCTGAAAGAAGTTTTAGTGTGAAATGACTGGAGTTAAGAAAAAAAGAGAATGGGCTTCCCTGGTGGCGCAGTGGTTAAGAATCCACCTGCCAATGCAGGGGACATGGGTTCGAGCCCTGGCCCAGGAAGATCCCACATGCTGTGGAGCAACAAAGCCTGTGCGCCACAACTACTGAGCCTGTGCTCTAGAGCCCGCGAGGCACAACTACTGAAGCCCGTGCGCCTAGAGCCCGTGCTCTGCAACAAGAGAAGCCACTGCAATGAGAAGCCCGTGCACCTCAACAAAGAGTAGCCGCCTCTCGCTGCAACTAGAGAAAGCCCGTGAACAGCAACGAAGACTCAATGCAGCCAGAAATAAATAAATAAAATAAATTTAAAAAAAAAAGAAGAAAGAATGAACATCCATTCAGAGACTGCCTACTAAGTGCCAGGTAGTGTGGTGAATGCTTCTTATCTGTTGTCTTGTTCAAGCCTTGTATTTTCATGAAGAAATAGAGGCTCAGAGAGGTTAAGTGACTTCCCGAGATCATACAGGAGTTAGTGAGAGGATGGGTTCTTTCTGACTCCCAAACCCACTACACTACTAGACTTGTTTCTTGGTGGTTAGATGGCTGACATCCCAGGACTTTATTTCAAGAGTAGGTTTCACACTTTCCCACATTGTCTTGGAATATAGGATTTTAGGTACTAACTGTGGAACCAAGGGTGCCAGCCCATTCTTCTGGACCTTTTGGGTTGCTAGCCCCTTGCCTAGAGCTCATCTGAAAATTATAGCTGCTCTTGGGAGCTTAATATAACATGAAGACTATGTTGTTGCTTTTATTATCTCCTATACCATACAACACCAGTAGATAGTGTCCAGGATGTAATCACTTAACTGACAGATTTCCCAGCCATTTTATAGTGGTTCTCTGGTTTCTTAGTCAAGAAACTTGTTTTTATCAATTTAAACATGACTGTGGGAGAAGTATGTAATTACAGTAAACTTTGACTATGCTGTAACAAATCTTACCCATACCTGACAAGCTGGTTGAGGAGGGTTGTAAGTGATAATGTTAGTTTTTCTGTACAACAGTTCAGACCTTTTCCCAAAGGAAGACCAAAGCTGTTTGAACTGTGACCACTCCTTTGTTGCCAGGTGTGAACAACTTGTGATGACTCATAAGCCTAGATAGCTTCAAATCATTCACCTTGATCTGAAGTATTTTGTAAGCTGTGACTTAACCATTTGGCTCATTCTTTCTTTCACCAGGAAATACACTGAATATTAATTTCAGGAATTTCAGTGATCCCTTCTGAAGAGTGTATTGCTCATTAAAATATCTGGGGCTTGTTTTTCTGGTAACAAACAGAACCACAAATTGGTCTGTACTTCGTGGCTGTGCCAAACCCTTGTGTAGACGGAGGGAGGGACCTGATGAACTGTTTAGAGAGGGGCTGTGGAAGATGAGACCATCTTTCTAGCTTGTCTAAGAGGTTCATCTCTTTGACCAGAGGAATGGGCATGCAGGGAAGAATGAGGCTGAACATAGCAGGCGATGTATGAGTGTATTTGTGTCCGTAAATATCACATCACTGTTTATAGTACACTGGACTCTCTTCATGCAAGGCCTAGTCCTGCCAAATCTGGAGGAATTGTTCCCATGCTTAAAGCCAAGAACAACATCCTGACCAGCGGGGGACAGAGGTCAGCTCAAGGCAGCAGCTTTTGGGAGCTACAGGACATTAAGAACCTTGAAGGAACTGAGTTTAATAAGAAGGAGGCCAATATGTACCTGGAAGGAAGTGTGTGAAACCTGTGTGTCTCTTATTGGGGTGTGGCTTATTTATGAGAAATGAAAAATCATCTTAATAGTTGGATTTCATATCACCTCCTGGTCATTTAACTGTATTTCCCCCTCCCACCTGCATATTGTTTTGTCTTTTGATTGTTTTTATTAGAAAAAGGGGAAAAAGATATTCTGTTATTCTGGTGTTTTACTCTACAGGCAGCTTCAGAGATGCCCAGGAGAGAGCTGGCTTGAGAAGATGATATGTTAATTAAACAAATAGCCTTTACAAAATCTCCTGGGACCTTCCGGACTTGCCACACTTTTGTTTCTGGGATCTTTCTGTGCCGGCTTCTTTTCCCTTCCGTCTTTCCTCATTCTGATGCTGGCCACTCACCCCACAGAGGCAACTCCAACTGTTTTCTGGTGGAGCATTCTAAGTTTGTCCTGTTGTCTTCTCTGGGACTCATTTCTCTGGTCTGACTGTAACTGGTTCTGGGCCAAAGTGATCATCTGAAAGCTTTTCTTCATAGCCTTTATTTCTTGGCTCTCTTTATGCACTTTGCCTGATTAGTTTTGCTGGTTTTCTCCTTTTCCAGTTGATGTGAGGTATATTGCCTCAGTTGGAGGGTTCTAAAGCTCAGGTGCAGCCCCAGGCCTCTTAGATTTTACCCTGGTTTGTAAAGTGCCTTTATCCTTTCCTAGAAATTGGGGGAATGAATCAGGTGCTCTGTTATATGAGGTATTGCTGACTCTCCTGGGACTCTATTTTGCTGGTTATTTAAACACGTATGTAGCAATTTGGATTGTATTTGCAAGGTAGGACTTGTTGCCAAGACGCTGAAGTAGGTCATTCCTGTTACCCTTTCTCCCCTGTTTTGTTTTTTTTTTGGCCACACCATGTGGCATGTGGAACCTCCCAGACCAGGGATCAAACCCGTGTTCCCTGCAGTGGAAGCGTGGAGTCTTAACCAGTGGACCACCAGGGAAGTCCTCTCCCCTGTTTTTGAATTGAAAAATTAGGGACCGGGACTTCCCTGGTGGTTCAGTGGGTAAGACTCCCCGCTCCCAATATAGGGGGCCTGGGTTCAATCCCTGGTCGGGGAACTAGATCCCTCATGCATGCCGCAACTAGAGTTCGCATACCACAACTAAGAGTTCTCATGCCACAACTAAGAGTTCGTGTGCTGCAACTAAGAAGCCCCATGCCACAACTAAAAAAGATCCCATGTACTGCCACTAAGACCCGGTGCAGCCAAAATAAATAAATAAACAAATATTTTTAAAAAGTAAAGAAAAATTAGAGACCACGATCACATAGTAGGTTGATCTTACACCTCCTGAAACAAACCTCATTTTTGTATTCCTTATATGTAGCACAGATATTAACAAATAGTTAAATACACAATAGTTTATTTTTTTAAAACTATTTATTTATTTTGGCTGCACCGAATCTTCATTGCGACACGAGGGATCTTCATTGCAGCATGTGGACTTCTAGTTGTGGCATGCACGTGGGATCTAGTTCTCTGACCAGGGATTGAACCCAGGCCCTCTGCATTGGGAACGCAGAGTCTTACTGACTGGACCACCAGGGAAGTCCCCACAACAGTTCAATAAATACATCTTAACTGAGGGGTTGGTTGGTTGATCAATTAAATTTCAGAATTCTCATCAAGTTGATCACATTTTGGACCAATAAGTGAGAATCGTTTCTGATTGGAAGGGAAAAAATAGCCGTGCAGAAAACGTTTAGCAATTTAGAAAATGCATGCAAAAAAATCCTGATGTAAATCCTATTCTAAAATGAAGAAACAGAAGGGTGGTTTGGCTAGAGCAGAGACTGATTAAAATGTAAGGAGAAATAGGGTGAGAGAGGATAAAAGAGCATGGATTAATGAAGAGATAGGAATAATTATGGAAATAGGCATCTTGTCAGCTTGGGATTAAACAGTAAAAATGAAAATTCCCACTCCTCCCCCAGTAGCAGGTTCTCTACCCTCACACCTCTCTCCCAAACCACTATCCAGAGGAGCTGTTAATGACCCTCTGGGCACTAGTGTCCAGTTTTGGGGCTGCCATATGAAGCACAAAGAGGTCCTGTGGGGTCAGTCAGTGCAAAGAGCAGTTGGCCTTTACATTTGTTAAATTCTTCTAATCATTTTGCTGCTCTCAACAGTATTGCTAATTCCAAAACTAAAACCATTTTCTGATTGTTTTACTTTGTGTGACTGGCTTACGGGACTAAAACAGCAGCTGAGACTGCTATACTACACTGTGCGTTATGCAATAACTCTTCAGAGGGCCCATCGACTTTTTTTTTAGCCTTAAAAAAAAACAACAAAAAACAAACTTTGCTGGGTTTTTTTTTTTTTTGCTTTGGGGCCAGTAATTTGCATCATATTTTGGAGCCTTGATCTTCCCCTCATTATTTCTTCATACATTCCTGTGCTAAGCCCTGCTCTCTGGACCTGACTCTGGCTTCTGGCCTCATTGAGTTGTATGAAATTTAACAATTTCTGGTTTCAGATCTGTTTCCAACTTTTGTTTTCCCTGTTCCCTCTAGTAAACTTTGGGTTCAAACTTGCTTGGGGAAAGTTTATTTTTTTCCTTGCTTATTTTTTTGTTTCTGTAAATATATTCTCTAATAACTATCTTTACTTTCTTTGTCAAACAGGCCACCAAGCAGTTTCTTGAAGAGATTAACAAGTGGACAGTTCAGTTCAACGTTTCCCCCCTCTCTTGGAATGTGGCGGTCAAGTTCCTCATGGCCCGGAAGTTTGATGTGCTCCGTGCCATAGAGTTGTTTCACTCCTACAGAGTATGTACCTCAGGGATGGACCTGCCATGTGGCACCTGGGTTCTCTATGTTGCTGTTGTTTCTGCCACAGTCTACACAAACAGTGGTTCTCCCCACTCCCATTAAAAAAAAGTGCATCGGTATCTAAGAGCCCTACCTTGGAGTGAGAAAATCCTTCTGAAGATATTTAGAAGCTACCTAAATAAATTAAAAAAAAAAAAAAAAGGAGACTGAGATAAGAGGCACTAGGATTAGTTTAAGAGTTTAAAACTAAAGCTCACTTACACCCATTTTTGTGGGTCATCTTGTTCAATATTCATTCATTTATTCAACAGATATTTATTGTATATCTACTATGTTCCCAGTGCAGAGATTACTATTTAGAAAGAGAGTAAATAAACAATTATAGAAATGTTATGATACGACAGTTCTGGGTTCTATGGAAAGCACATTTAATTAAGAGGGTCAAGGAGGCTTTCCTGAAGGAAATGACTTCTAAATTAAGAGTAGAAGAATGAGTAGGAATCAGACAGTAGGGGAGTATGGCAGAGAGAACAGCAAGTTCAGATGCCTAGTGGCAGGAGACAAATTGAGCTGATCAGAAATGCTGAGTGCGAGAGGGGGCATGGCAAGAGATTGAGCAGCAGGTAAACAGGGCCAGATCAGAGAGTATCTGCTTTTTCTTAAGGGCAGAGAAATTCATTGAAGGTATAAACAACAGAATGCCTTGATCAGATTTGCTTTCTGAAAGATTATTTTCACTGTGATTTAGAGGATGGACCAGAAGGGCTATACTGGAGACAGACCAATTAGAAGGCTGTTGTACTTACTAGGAGAGAGATGATTGTGGTGTCATTAAACATAGTGTCAGGGAGATAGAGAAAAAGTGGTCAGATTCTAGAAGTAAAATTGATAGGACAGAGTTGCTTATTAAACTAGTGTGAGGAAAGGGAAGTGGAGAATTCCAGGTCTCTGACTTGGGTGGCTGGGTGGTAAATGGTGGTGGCATTCACTAATTAAGAGACACTGAATGGGTACAGGTACATGGAGAGAGTAGGTCATGAGTTCAGTTTGGCCATGTTAAGGTTGAAGTGCCAATGGGATATCCAAATAGACATGTCCTCTAAGCAGTTGGGATGTGAGTCTAGGGTTGGGAAAAGAAGGCTGGACTGGAAGTAGTGATTTCAGAGTGACCAAAGTAGAATATTGGAGGTGAATATTGGAGCCATGAGAATGGGTGAGGTCATCCTGGGAGAGTGTGAGGAATAGGGAGATGTGTAGGGCAACCTCATTTCAGACTTTTTGCTGTCTTTGGTCCAGTGTTGTTTTTTAAAGTTAAGTTTGAATGCTTTATGTAAGGCATGCACTCTCCTGTGATTCCAGCACTCATACTGTCTTCACTTGCTGCCTTGCCTCTGAAGGCGTTTGAATTTGATTTTAGGGATGAATTGGGGAAGAATATACACAAAGACCTAGTTTGTTTTATTCACCAGAGTGTTCTTAGCACTTAGCTGGGTGCCTGGCACACAGTAGTTGCTCAACAAATACTGAAAGATGAATGAATGAGTCAGTGAGTGAAATGAATGAACAAATGAATGAAAAAAAGCCCACAAGAGACTTAGAAGGAGTAGCTGAAGAAATAGGAAAACCACGAGAGTATATATTTTTTTTAGTCAAAAATAGAGAATGTCTCAGGAAAAAGAGAATGTGAGTAGTCACCCTTGTCATGTAGAAGGAGGACTGAAAATGCCCATTGGATTGAGCAGGAGCTCTGGATGGTATAGTTAGTTTGGGAGGAAACGGGAGTGCAGTGGAATGAGTGTGAGGGAACTGAGGATGAGTTTAAAGAATCTGGCTGTGAAGATGAATTAAAATGAGGTCATGGTAGCTGTTGTTGGAGAGTATAATGAGGGGAGGGATGGCTCCTATTTAAGACAGGAGAGGCCTAAGCCTGGAGGATGTGTTAGGATATCTGTTTCCAGACAGTTTGGGGTGCATATTTTAATATCAGTGCTGCTGCATGTTTAAGAACTTTGACCTTGCACTGTAATGATTGATATATAGTGGTTGGTCTTCAGGGTTAGGATTCTCACTGATTCAAGAAAAAATCCTAAGCCTGAAGGGGCTGATAAGCTGGCATTGGACAAGAATTCTGACAACACTCAGTTGGCCTAGAGGGGGGTTACAAAGGAATTCATGATTCAGTAAGCTGATTTCCAAAATCCCTTATCTCTGAGATATGGTGGTTACATAAAGCTGTCATGGGTGTATGGTATTTTTATATAAATTCATCTTGGTTTTTTTATTTTCAGGAAACACGAAGGAAGGAGGGCATTGTGAAGCTGAAACCTCATGAGGAACCTCTCCGTTCTGAGATCCTTAGTGGAAAATTCACCATCTTAGTGAGTATTAATGAACCCCTCTTGTAGTATCTTGTTACTTTCTTGTGTAGCTGTTCTCTTTGGACTTTGTTCCTAGATACCTTATCCTGAATCAGAGAGTCTCAACAGTGGAGAGCAGATGTGAAGTTTGGCATAAAATTATTCTAGTAATAATTGAAATAATTGAAAATCAGTTGTACAGTACATTTAGAAAAGTTTCTTCACTGGTCCATTAAGGTTAGTTAAGGCCTTTGGGATGGGTATAAAATGTGTCAGAGGCCCATCCTTCTTTATTTAATGCAAGCTCTCTCCACTTAGAGACCACAGCCTTTCCAGTAAGTATCCAGCAGTACTTTTAAGGCAGAGTATAGAAACCATTGTTATATTCTGTGGATTTCTCCTGTTGCTTATTTCTTTGCTATCCTGCCTGGGAAAATTAGCTAGGCAGCCAGTGTAGACCATTGTTTAATTTCTCTGTAATTGAAGAGTTAAGAGAATGTGGTTTTTTCCTACCACAGGAATATGATCCAGGGGGTGCTGAGAATCAGACATGGGATGATACAAAGCTTTCTTCCTTTTCTGGAGCAATTGATGCAAGTCAGAGAAGTATTATCAGCATCTATTCTCTTCATAACAAACCTTTGTGCAGGATAAGAGGGCTTCGTGATTTCTGTGATTTTCTATTTGATTTCTAAATATTTCTTGTTTTGTTTGCTCTAGAATGTTCGGGACCCAACAGGAGCCTCTATTGCCCTCTTCACTGCCAGATTACATCATCCCCACAAGTCAGTCCAACATGTGGTACTTCAGGCTCTGTTTTACTTGCTAGACAGAGCTGTGGATAGGTGAGCATGGAAATTATCTTTTGGGTGTTCTACATCCAGATGGGAAAGTGACACTGTTTGATTTGATTAAACTCAGCAGTGCATTCACTATGCTCCTAGGATGTGCCCTGGGCAGTGCTATGAATGGAAAGCATTCCATATCTTTAGGGCTTGGCATGTTTCCAGGTACTATGCAGATGATGGGTATTCTGCATCTTGACCTGCTTGGCTGTATTTCAGGGTAACAGAAGCTGAGAAAGCTAGTTAACTAGCAATTCTTAGTGTATTGAGAATGACGTTATTGAAAGGGAGTGAGGGTGAGATGACCTGTGCTGGTTCTTCCCGATCATTCTCCCCTGATGTTGAAGAACCTGTGGGACCTCAGTTTCTTTGTCTGTAAAATAGGAATAATGCAGAGGATTTTGAGACTCAGCATTCAGGAGAGAGGAGTCCAAGAGTATAAGTTAAGCAAAATCATTTTTATAAATAGGTGCATAAGCCAAAAGAACCAACTCAGGTCATGTCTCCCTCCCTCCTCTTAGGTAAGTAGTATTATCACTGTTCTATAGACAGAGAAACTGAAGCCCCAAGAAGTTTTGTGGCTCTTTTACAGTCGTCACATATTGATCCAGCTAGGTCTAAGATCCTGGTTTCTTCACTCTTGGTCAGAGCTATTTGTACCCTACTATGTTGTCTTTCTCTTTTACTTTCTTTTTTCCCTGGTGCTTGCCATTTACAGTTTGTTATTGCTCTCAATGTCATTGGCTGGTCCTCTGGGTTAAATGTGATATATCGAGGGCTAAGACCAGAGATAGTGAGAGACAACTGTGCACTTCAGTCATACTTCTGGACTTAGAGGATGGGAATAGCCAAAGGATTATCTGAAGCGGGGCTCTCTGTCTAGTTCACTTGTTGCTGCCTTGTTAATGTTAATTCTTTCATATACTTAGCTTCTGCTGGTGGTGTTCGGTGAGAGATATATCCAAACCACAGACACAGCATTATTCTGAAAAAGAGAAGTTACTAAGGAGAGAGGGCCAGCGGTCAGCAGCCAGTCAGAAATGTGGAATTTCTCAGTTCTTCTTTCTTATGCTTTGTCTTCAGGCATAATTTCTAGAGTATAGTTCCCTTTGAAATGTTTCTTTAGCTCAGGGGAATGAATGGAAGGCTCTTTTACGAGAAAATTTAGCATTGGCTTCCTCTTTGAGCAGCTTAGAGAGTCGGAGCTCTTGTGTAGGCATGACAGTGGCCAAAGCTTGCTTTTTCCAGTGTGAGTATTGAATCCCATAGGAATACCACACAGGTAAATGTAATTAAAACTTTGTTCTCGTGATGTCCATCCCTTTCTTAAAAACCCTCAGTGACTCATTATTCAGAGGGTGCATGTAAGGTAAGTAAATGTGAACCTTTTTTTTTTTTTTTTTTTTTTTT